ACGTTCCAGGGGAGGATGGTCTCCCTATCGAGTTCTTCTTGAAATTTTGAGATCTGTTTTGTGTAGATTTAGTATTTATATATAATGAGGTTCTACAAGGCACCCTCCTTCCGGATACCATGACCAAGGGCATTATTGCACTGTTGTTCAAAAAAAAGGAAAATAACAATATTCGTAATTGACACCCTATATCTTTGTTGAACACAATTTATAAACTACTGGCAAAAACACTGGCCATTAGACTCGCAGATTATCTACCTAGGATCGTGGGGGCTGATCAGGGTGCATTTGTGAAGGGAAGGTCGATCTTGGATAGCATTGTTACAATTGTAGAGGTTATGGAGGTAATTGCGGACGAAGAGCTGAATATAGTAGTGTTTTTTCTAAATCTGGAAAAAACCTACGATTGAGTGAACTGGACGTTCATGCCGACTTCCTTAAGGCATGTAGGGATAGGGTCGTCTTATTGTATATGGGTCAAAGCCCTGTATTACTACTCTACAACATCAGTTATGGTCAGTGGTCGTATTTCCGACCCCTTCCCGTTGGCACGGTCCTTGAGACAAGGATGCCCGTTGACCCCACTTTTGTTTATTATCCAAATGGATGTTATGCTTAATAGCATTAGACAGAACCCATATATCTCAGGGATGCGGGTCAAGGGTCATGATCAATTTAAAGGTGGTGCCTTAGCAGACGACCTATCGATAGTTACAAAGAACACAGTAGGGTCACTAACTGCAGTGAAAGCCATCCTAGTGGAGTATCGCGATCTGTGTGAAGCTCAGGTCAACTGGAATAAATCTGATTTTTTTCTACTAGATCAATTTAGCATTTGCATGGATTTGGGGATGAAGAAAATTCCTGCAGATTCTGTTGAAAGGTTCCTTGGCGTGCATGTCACATTGTAGAATTGTGACAAAATCCAGGACCAGATTCTCCTGGATAGAGTGGAGCAGAGCATCAAGAAGTGGAAGACAACTTATGGTCTCTCACTGATGGGGAGAGTTCTGATCCTTAATGCTGCAATATTCTCTCAGTTGTGGTATGTGGGATCAATTCGATGTTTGGGCAAAGCCACTGCAAGAAAAATCAAAGGTGTGGCCGCGGAGTATGTGTGGAAGCCCGACGCAGAAGAAAATGAAGGTTTCATACCCAAAGTGGCATGGGACAAGTTGACAACGCTCAAGGATGAAGTAGGTATGACTCTAATAGACCCACAACGTCAGAACACTGCACTGTTGTGCAAATGGTCAGCTAAAGCAGTGCAAGACACGGAGGACAGATACTGGATTGCCTTGGTCGAGTATCAACTGGCCAAGGATTGGGATTTGAGCAAGGGCGAGGATGTATGAATCCTCTTAACGTTGCAATCATACCTTCGTCGAAAATCCAGTTCCCCCTTCTGGTCGGGAGTGCTACAGCATGGAAGACATTGGCGCCACAACCAAGGAATGAACCGACTACGAGAGATGAAGTGCTGAGGCAACCACTGTTTGACAACCAATGGATCAAGCACTCGGATGGATCAGTCTTCCCGGCTTCAGCGAGGACAGGCAGATTCGGCAGAACATGGATAGAAAGGGGGATGGTCCGGATTGAGGACATTTGGGATGACATCCATCTTCACTGGCACACTCTCCAAACAATCAGGAAGAAGTCAGGGAAATTGTGGCATGTGGAGTAAAGACTTGCAAACCTGATTGAGGAAATACCGCAGGATTGGAAAGAGATGTTGAGGGTGGGGCAGAGGAACTGTGGAGAATGGGGTACATTGACATTGACGTTGAGTGGCGGTGAGCAGGAGGTCCTCAAGTTCGGAGACAAGGAAGGCGGCAAAGCGGAAGTCTGGACAAGGCGACACCCCGAGCGACATATTGCAGTTCAAGGAGGAGCGGATGATTGCAGAGGGATGTTTTACGGAAGAGATTCGGGTGTCAATCCAATTTAGTAAATCAGGCGTCACTCACCCTGTCCTATGCATGAGAGGGACTCCGGTGAGAAGGATGTGTATTGATGCCGACCTGTATGGTTGGCCTCAGCTTCTTGTGCCCCCGACTTGCAACGATACACCGCCTCCATTGGCATGCATTTGTTGAGACTGAAGGGTAGTTTAACTGTCAAAATCCAAGAAGCACATCCATTCTCAGACAATGGTGTCCCCCTCTCATGCTCGTACTATCAAGAGATGTGGAAAGTCTGCCAGCGCATACCAAGTACTAAATGTGCGTCTTTGCTTTGGCTGCTGATCCATAAGGCCCCCCTGGATGCTGAAAGTCTGTTCATCAGAGGCATGGAGGTCGATGTCGTCTGCCCAAGATGCCATCACAGTCCGGAAACAAGGAGTCACCTGTGGGGAGAGTGCCCGTTATCGGCTCGCATCTGGAAATGGTGGGCATTTCACTGGAAGGAATTAGGTGGACCACGGGAAGTGGAATGGGACCTCAGTTGGGCCCTTACTGGCATGCTCCCCGACACATTGAGTTATGGGAAAGGTTGGGGGGGTATGTCGCTGTTGCCCTTCGAGCAATGGCTATCTGGTGGATATGGAAGGAAAGGAACTCTATTCTTTTTCAAAGAAAATTCATGTCAGATGCAGTTTTAAAAAATGGCATGAAAGCCATGGTCCGCCAGATGATTGTGGTCGACTGGCGCAGAAAGGTCCTTAGCAGACAAGAACCAGAGAGACATAAAGCAAGATTGTGGTTTCTGCGCTCATGGGCCAAAAAGAACAGTTTGGCAGCAGTCTCCCTAACTGGAAAACTGGTCTTATCTCGCTGGCTATGTCAAGGCAACGTATGATCGTTAAGAAACCAGCATTGCCTGGTAATGGGGATAAGTCTCAGATAGTTAATAACTTTCTAGGGGTGGTCATCTGTAGGTTGGTCTACTCTTGTGTTTGTTTTGAGATTGTCGTTTGGTCTTTCGTAAAACCAGGTGCACTCGGTTTCAGTCGGCGGCCACTGTAGGTTGCAAACGGTCGGGTTGGGTGGGAGAGTGCCATGTGACTCAAAAGGAACATAGGGTTCCTCTCAGTCGTACTGGGCCGACAGACCGTATTAGGTCTGTGAATTAGGAGCAGTAGGGTGAAGGGCAGGAGCAATACGCTGTTAGGATGGGCGAGTAATCTTGGACAGAGTAGTATGGACAGGATGGAGTTCCATCGGAAGGCATAAGTTTTTACAAGCTAAACTGGCTGAAGCTGCCAGGGTTACTCCGGGTTGAATTGTGAGGACCCCGGCCTCAACCTCTGGCATTTTGGAATGAAATGTTGCGTTTCAAAAAAAAAAAGAAAAAAAAAAAAAGAAAAAAGAAAGATGCATGCCCCTTGTGAGGGCATTTGGAGGAGGTACCGACGAAACGCCATCCGCGGTCCGGTAAGGGCATAGCGGAAAGTTGTGCCCCATGCTGACAGGGGCCTGCAGAAAACTTCAGAGGCCCCAGGGGCACGACAGGGTAAGTCGGCGTTCAGAGGAGCACGCCGCAAATTAATTGAAATTTCAGGGGCATCCCGAAACGTTTCCCATTAATTTATCCAGTGCTATAATGCAACGAAAGAGAGCGACTGGAGTCCTCGCATCCGTCTGCATCTGCCCGCGACCACCTCCGGGTTCGACTATGCACGAATTCTCATGCAGGTCTGCATCAGGCCGCGACCAAGTCCGGGTTCGACCATGTAAGTCTTCTCATGCAGGTTCCACTTGCTGGACTCCTGTTCCTTGCCTTTTTTTTTTTTTTTTTTTTTTGAGAACCTTGCCTGTTTTTGGGCTGTGAGCTCTGCACCCCGCCGCGGCTGGCAGGCGGGCAAGCAGAAGCGCAGACAACCGGGGGGGGGGAGCCAGCGAGCGAGCAAGCGAGCGAGCGAGAGAGAGAGAGAGAGAGATTGATTGGATTGTCGGTTAGGGTCGATGATGTGCAAAGAAAGGCGGTTGGGGATGCCGGCTTGCCAATTCAGGAGAGGAAGACGACAAGAAGGGATCTGACGCCGGAGCTGAGGAGAAGGTCGCTTTTTGCGTCGCCAGATCGGAGAACGACGCCATACTCGTTTTCTTGGTTTCGTTCGACTGGGACGCTTTTTCGTTCTAGACCTCCACCAGTGCTGCTTTTGCTTCTGCTGCTGTTTGCCTGTCACGACACACGTGTTCGCGGCCAGTCAAAATCACTCATGCCGCGCCACTATTCGCCACTTCTCTTCTGTTGTCCTCTTCCCTCACAGCTGCTTTTTTTAACCATTTTCAAACTGACCAATCACCTAACCGGCCTTCGCCACATCTTGTCGGGTGGGCTAAACATCGACACCAGAGTCGTATCCTGCGGCTGGTCCCGCCGACCGTAGGCTGTCTTCCCCTTGGCGCGCTCCGTGACAGCGGCTCCTCGTTTTATTCAGAACCGACAGAGATCTGGAAACGCTGCCATATCCTCCTCCCTCCCTCTCATATTGATGACCGGCAATTTCCGAAAAAAAGTGCACGTGCGCTTGCTACCGGCAATAGACCGTTGAGCGGCCAGGTATCCGTAAAACGGAAAGTAGAACGTCTTGAGCCATAGCGGACGCGAGTGCTGGTGTCTACACATCCATTTGTAAGTATATGTCGATGACCATGGATGTGGAAAGATTGGTGTAAGTTGGGGAAGGGGGGGGGG